GTCAATTTTATTTTTGATCTTTTAACGTTTCCAGTTCGCCTTACCATTTGGTTCATGGCCGTATCAGCTCGATCAGATTGATTGAGTCGAGTTTTAAAACACCGATTTCAATTGCTATCAATTGAGTTGAGTTAACGAAACTAGTTATTTACCTTTTAAATTGATTATGTTACATATTTCTCGAATTTATTTCTTAATATACCAACTATATTGATATAATACTTACTTTTTATTTATTTATATTTACTAATTTGTTTTTAGTTTTTTTTATTGTGGTTTATTATTGTTCTGGCCTGGGCCCCGACTTGGCCAGGCAGACCCAGCCCAATAATATTCTGCCAAGCCCAGTCTAGCTTGGGCCGCAGTCGTCGAGCACAGGGTCCCCGACGCACAAGTAATGTCCTTCCGCGGGCAGAACCTGCCTCAGCTACGTCGAGCACGAGGCTCCCCCATCGACCAAACACTGCCCTCTCCGCGGGCAGGACCTGCTCCCTCGTCGGACAGGACTACATGTCCTTCACACGTTCTCTACGTGCTCCCCTCCGTGGGGACACGTCACCGCCTAACTGCCCACCTCCGAAAGAGCAGGTCAAACCCACTTTCCGGAGATCACGGGACAGTTGGACTAGGGCGAAGACCACGTCTTGGTCTTCACTACGCCACGTAAGTCCTAGCAGTCACCTGGGTTGGGTCTGTCAATCCAGTCCAACACAAGTGATCGTTGGCCCAACCCTGGGGTCTCTCTATAAATACCCTCTTTCATAAGAGGGTCAGATAATTCACTTCTTACCCCTTTTCTGTATTTGCTTTCACTTTCCCCAATTCCTTATTTTGGCATCAGAGTGTCTTGCAGGTACACCCCCTCCTCATCTTCATCACCGGTGAACAGGTAGCAGCCCAACAGAGTGTGGTCAGCTAGTGATTCCCTTCTGATCAGGTCAGATCAATTATAGTTCTCACTAATTTGAAAATTAGTTTTTGGATTTGTGCACGAAAAAACTCATGTTTCATTAAACAAATATTTCCTGGATTTCTAAATTTTGATGATGATCAATATATTATTATTAGGTATTTATTATGCATAAAGTGCATATAATAATACATACAAATATGATTAGTTATCCATTTAACATTTACTTATACATGATTCTCAGTAAGAGGATTTTTTCTAAATTATAAATATAAGAATGATTATGGTTATATAAAATTTAAATTCTATACTATTCAAAAATTAAAATGAATTATAGTGTTTAAATGAAGTCGTTTCTAAATATTTTTTTCATTACATGTTCAAATATATTTCAATCTAAAAGGAAGAGTTAATATTTTTTTAGTGAAGAAGCCGTGAAAATATATAATTTTAATTATTAATTCAATTATGCATATCTTATCAATAGTACAAATTAAAATATTAATTCGTCATTTGTTTGTGAATTAACGTATGTTTTAAAATATTTCAATCTAAACTGAAATTTTGTATCGATTGTTAATAAATATGAATATGAAACTAAAATATATTTAACTTAATAAATTTATATAATCAACAACAATTTTTTTTTAATGCCAACAACATTCTTCAGTCGGAAATTAGAAACTACATAAATTAGAATCTAATCCTTCAAATAGAATTATATATTTAAAGAACTAACATTTTTAAGAAAAAAATTTAGTATACATTCGTCACAAATCAAAACTATGACACATCATTTAAGAACCAATTATGGAGATTTTTCGCAGTTTAACCATGACAAAACAAATAGACGCTTTATTTAATTACGGTTTAATTGTGACAAACATTTTACAAAATCCTAATTATCCTAGATTTAATCGTGACAAATTTTAAACCCTGTGGAATAACTTATCTTGCACACTCTTAAAGATGATCATATTAATATAATAATAACCCTAAGGTTGAAAAATATTTTAAAGGTTTTTAAAGTATCATATTTTGAGCTGAAATATGAGACAAGAGACAGAGTTTTAATTTTAAAAAAAAGCACACGCCCCATAATGTTTAAAAAAAATTATATCCCGCTAGTTTAATCTAACCCACTGATTCATTAGTCAAATTAATAGACCGATCAGATTTTACTGGTTTAGATTTGGTCAATTGTATTGTTGGTCTTTTAACTTTTTCGGTCTACCATACCCATTGATTCATGGTTAGACCAGCTCAATTAGACTAAAATGGTTGAATTTTCAAATACCAATTTTAATAGCTATCAATTGAGTTAAATTAACGAAACTAATTATTTACCTTTTATATTGATTATGTTTACATATTTGTCATATTTATTTATCACTATACCAATTATATTGATATAACACTATCTATATATTTTTTATTTACTAATTTGTTTTACTCTTTTTATTTAGTTTATTATAGTCCTCACTGATTTGAGAAATTAGATTATGGATTTATGCATGAAAAAACACATGATTCATTAAAAAAAATTACAGAATTTATAAATTTTGATAGTGATTGATATATTGTTATTAGTTATTTATTATGCATAATGCGAATAATAATACATACAAATATCGGTAGTTATATATCCAATATTTATAAAATAACATGTATCAATATCATGAATATTAGTATTTCATATTTATAAAAACATATTAACTATAATAAAATTTAATAGACAATTTAATTTTTGGTTATATCATGTTATCTTAAAACATGTGAAAATGTTAATTTAAACCGACACCGATCAATTAGTATTTAAATTAAATGTATGTTTGTTTATAAGAGCAACTTTACCGCAGGGTTGTTAAACCAAAATTTTGTATAATTTACGTTAGTAATAAAAATTTTACATTATAGTAGAGCTGACATGACATCTAATGAACTAAAGTTTAGTTTCTATCATCATCTATATAGTTAACGTTAACTATTCAATAGAAAACATATTATAATATTATTTAATATTAATAAAATATTCCAACGACATTAAAGTAATCAAAATTAATGGTAATTTGAATAAAAAATTGTAAATGTAGGGTCAAGTTTTCGTTTCTTATAGACAACCATCATTAAAGTAAAAACTATTCAAATCAACTATAAATTTTTTAAATCCTACAAAACACTTTAGGCCCATAAAAAATATTTTAGTTTACCCATTTAGTTTAATCCCATTAAAAATACTCTAAGGTGACATATGTTTCACGACAACTGAATTTAAAACATAGTTTACAATGATTAAGTGAAAAATATTAAATATTAAAGTAAGAAAAAATGTGTTTGTTTATATGGTCACATATTTTTTCTCTAAACATTTGTTTGATTACATATTAAAAAATTTTAGTGAAGAAACCATGTTAACGGGAAAACATATAATTTTGATCATTAATTCAATTGTAATAAATAGAATGGTAAGATAGTATAAATGAAAATATTAATTCAGAGTTTGTTTATAAAGTGATGAAATTTCTAAGATATCTCGATCTAAATTTTTGTATCAATAGTTAATAAGTATAGTCGTGATTAAAATATATTTAAATTTATAAATTCATATAATTAACAACTATTTTTTATGCTAATAATATTCTTGGATCGTAAATTAAAAACTACACAAATTAGAAATTAACATTTCAAATAGAATTATATATTTAAAAGACTAACATTTTTAAGAAAAAACTCTTATATACACATCCACCACAAATCAAACTTATGACTATGAACCAATTATCTATCAATGACACCTTATAATGACCTAATTAATTAAAAATTATAAAATTATAATAATATAAATATAAATTAAAAAATAAAAGATAAAAATGAAAGAAAAATATGAAATTATAAGTTTTTTATTTATGAATCTATAATTTTTTATTTTATTTTTGTCCATCTAATTTTTTTTAAGAGTGATCCTTAAATATTTTTTAGTATTATATATATTTTTCACTCTTAATACAAATTAAACATGATATTGTCTAGAAGATTAAAAAAAAGAGAGTGTTGTAACACCTCAATTATAATACGTATTATTGAGTTAAATTTATAAACTTTTAAAATATGATTAACCTCTAACAACATTATTTAATTATATTAATATATTAATGTAAATGAATTATGCACATTTATAAATCAACAACTATAAAAAAAATTATAAGTACTAAAAATTTATTTAAACACAACTTATTTGACAAAATAATTCATATAATCTTTTATTTGTAGTCTTTCTATACAATATCTTGTCAATTGTCAATTTATTTTTAATCAAACACCAAATTTATTGAAAAAAAGTATTTGAAAAACTATTTTTGACTATTTTCTTAATAAATACACACAAAATAATATCAATTATAAAGTCACTAAATAACAAAATATTATTAAAAAAAATCATATGAACTGGAGTCATGATATTCAACCTAATAATATTAAACTAGAATAATTTAATGCAGATTTTTAATAGTTAAATTTTTTATTATTAACGTTGCTTATAAAGAATTTGCATAGTAATGACTATGATATGATATTTAATTTATTAATTTTTAGTTTTCGACAATTATATAACTAACGTATGTTATTTATTTTAAAATATATAATATCATTATTTATATTATTAAATTAATAATAACTTCAATAAAAAAGTAATTACAATTAAAAAATATAAAATATAGAGTCTAAATTATTTTAGTTTTTTTACAAGTAACTATCGTTAAAGTAAAAATAACTCAAATCAACTGTAAATTTTTTAAATCCTATAAATCTCTCTGGTCCACAAAACATATCCTACTTTACCTACTTAAGATATTCCCACTGAAGCTACTCTTAGTATCTTATAAAAAAAAGACTATATATATTTTTACATAAAGAAATATAAAAAAAGTTTACAAATATAAAATTGATTTTTATATACATACAAGGAATAAACCCAAGCATCCATTTTAAAGACAATCAAAAACCTCACTCACTCACAATTCTCTCTCTCAACATACCAACCACATACACTCTCTCTCACTAGAACCATCACAAGAGAGAGAGTGACTGATCGATGATGTCTTCCTCCGGCACCGGCAGGTACATGGCTTTCCCGCCGTCTCCATCACACTCCCTCCCTCATCTATCCGCCCTTCGTTCTCCTGCTTCAACTGCCATCGCTGAACATGACAAGTATATATATATTTTCTTCTTTTTTTTCTTCTTTCTTTTCATCATTTTTGTAGGATCTGATTTTACTCTAATTTTTATGTTGAATTTTTTGTTAATTTTTTTTAAAATTTATTTTCTATATTTTTGTTTTTTTCATGATTTCTTTTATGGTCAAATAGTTCATACCATCTTCATTTCTTCATTTCTGTTGTTAGATATAGTTGGATTGGTGATTGATTATCTAATTGTTGATTTTTACTACATGATCCGATTGGTTACTGATTTTATCAGATCCATCTTGCTGATGCAAATCTGATTGAAAAAAAAATAGTTGTGATGAATTTTTGGTGAATAATGCATTGGATTGGCTTTTGATGATTCTGATTTTGAGGGTTTAAGAAATCATTAATGGATGAATTCATTTTTACTTGATTATGTTTTGATTATGTTATTATGTCTAAATTATCGTGTTTTTGTGTGTATAATTGCTTGATCTCTGGGGAAGTTAGTTGATCTTGTTGATCTTGTTGCCGAAGTGTTTTTTGTTTGTATGTTGCATTGGCGTCATTGTTAATTCATTATATGTTGAAGCACTTCCCTTTTGTTTTTTATAGTTTCGGTTCATGGTAAAAAATTATTGAGTTTATTGCATGTATGTTTGATTTTTTGATCTAATACACTCATTGCATGTTCTATTCCTTTTATTTTCAGATATCTAAGTGAGTTATTGGGAGAGCGTCAGAAGATTAGTCCGTTCATGGCCGTGCTTCCTCACTGCTATCGATTGTTAAACCAAGGTATGATAAAATCAAATAGTGTTTCATCTTTTTCCCTAGTTGTCTAGGGTTTGACGCGGTTTTCAATTGTTTTGATTAAAATATTTGTGTTTGATTTGATCCAAGGAAGTGTTTGCGGCTCGATACCTTGTTTTTTCAAATGTTGAAGGATTGTATATTGATCAAGGGAATTATGGAGTGTGAACATTGGTTTATCTATTTTGTGAATTGGTTTTTCTGTTTTGCTTGTGAGATTGTTCAAGGAAAATATATTCTATTTAACATTCAAAACTCGAATCAAGCATGTATGAATTTTTTTTCAATTGATTGCATATATGGAGTGATATGAAATCTGTTTTGGTAGATTTGTATAATGTAATGTAAATGTTCTGTGTTTTATTGTATATAATCTCTTTCTATTTTAGATGATTAAATTTGTTGTCAGCTGTAATCCACATGATGTTTTGTTTATGCATTGTTTTTGCACGAGCTTATAATATTTCGATATGTTGGCAATAGGGTTTTTCTTTTATTTTGTCTTGTACCTGTCGCATAGTTGTGGATTTGCAGCAGTAACCTGTGTTAGTTTAGTTATGAAATCTATATGTGCGAAGTATGCTTAATATTGCGAAGATTATAGAGGAGGGTGACATGCATATATTTCATGCTCGAAAAAGTCGAATTGAATTTTGGTGATCAAGGTAATTAGAATCGAGACCATACCTAGGATCGGGTGAGTAGTGAAAGATTGTTAATCGTGTGATCACGACGCAGATCATGCGACCCTACTAAAACTATAGAAGTCTTTTAGAGTACATAACTTAATGACGTAATCTATTAATATATATACGTCATTTGTGTGCTAAGCTACAAAACAAAAAGAAGAAAAGGAAAGTAGACTAAAGATTACCTTCTCGAAATGTATGGTGAAGCCTACTCTACGATAATTAATGCATGCAAGTATATCACTAAATTTCAAGTAAAGAATAAGATTTCTATTTTATAACTGATGATTATTATGTTAAATATTGTATGGTGAGGCAATTCTTTCTTTGTCGTGCTTTACCCGGTTGACCCACTGTCTTCCGGTGAGAAATTTTTAAAATTTTTTTGCAAACCGTGTTGTCACTCCGGTTTGCCTCACTTTTCAAAATTCTTCGGTCATAACCGCATAGCTGCCGCCGTCGTTGCTATTCTCAACGACCTTCCGGCAAACTTTTTCATCGGCAGAAACCTCCACACGCGCCACCTCCGTCTCTGCGCGTGGGCATCCAGCGCCGCCACCTGAAACGCACGTGACAGCACGTCCGGCCAGCGATCGATCGCGTGATATTTTCTCTCTTCAGATACTCATGGCTACTCCTCAGAACTTTACGCCAAACTACGATGATTTTCTCAGATGGTATCAGAATTATCAGAACTCAGATTCTACTGCTAAGGTAGCACACACTGGTAATTTATCTGTTTGCCTCTCTCAATCATCTCCTCTTCAACCTTGGGTCCTTGATTCTGGTGCGTCTGATCATGTTACTGGTAATAAAAATTTGTTCTCTTCCCTCTCTACCTCTGGTTTCTTACCTACTATAACTTCGGCCAATGGTTCTCAAACCCGATCCGAAGGGATTGGTACTGTTCAAATTCTACCTTCTCTATCTGTTACTTCTGTCCTCTATGTACCTAATTGTCCATTTAATTTACTTTCAGTCAGTCGTTTAACTCGTTCTCTTGATTGTAGTATCACCTTCACTAATAATAATGTTACCCTGCAGGATCGGAGTTCGGGAAAGACGATTGGCGTCGGATATGAGTCTCAAGGCCTTTACTACCTTTCATTGTCATCTCAGGCATGCTCAACCAAAGATTCTCCACTCACTATCCATGCTCAGTTAGGTCATCCCAGTCTTTCCAAATTACATAAGTTGGTGCCAAATTTATCGAAGGTATCTAATTTACATTGTGAGTCGTGTCAATTAGGGAAACACACTCGTAGTCAATTTCCCTGTCGAGTCAACAAACGAGCTTCGTCCCCTTTTGCTTTAGTTCACACCGATGTTTGGGGTCCCTCGCGTACTGTCTCTACTCTTGGGTCTAGGTATTTTGTCACCTTTATTGATGATTTTTCACGTTGCACGTGGTTATTTTTAATGAAGAATAGATCTGAATTGTTTTCCATTTTTGAACAATTTTATCGAGAAATAAGAACCCAATTTGGTTTGTCTATTCGTACCTTAAGAAGTGACAATGCACGTGAATATTTATCCCAACAATTTCAAACATTTATGTCATCCAATGGTATTTTGCACCAAACATCTTGCCCTCATACACCCCAACAAAACGGGGTAGCCGAACGCAAAAATCGGCACCTCGTAGAAACCACTCGGACCCTACTTCTCCATGGTAATGTTCCTCTCCGGTTTTGGGGAGATGCAGTGCTCACGGCATGTTACCTCATAAATCGCATGCCATCATCTGTCCTTAATAATAAAATTCCTCATTCAATCTTGTTTCCAAACTCTCCACTCCACCCAATTCCTCCTCGAGTCTTCGGGTCCACGTGTTTTGTACACAATCTCTCCCCTGGTCTTGATAAACTATCAGCTCGATCACTAAAGTGTGTCTTTCTTGGCTATCATCGATCCCAAAAAGGTTATCGTTGCTACTCACATACTCTACAACGATACCTCGTATCCGCCGATGTTACCTTCTTCGAGTCTGTTCCATATTTCGAATCCAGCCAAGTTACTACGGAACCTCTACAGGAAAGTATTCCCACACCTCTTCCGGAAGTCCCATCTGTCATTATCCCCCATCATTCTAGGGAACCTGACCCACTAGTTACCCCTACGGTTGACCCCCCCACTCCTCGCCCACTTCAAACATATCAGCGTCGTCACCCAAAGTCTGTCGTACCTGTCCCTGAAGTCGTACCTGTCCCTGAAGTCACTACGGTCGTACCTGTCCCTGAAGTCGTACCTGTCCCTGAGGTCACTACAGACTCTCCTCCGACGCTCTCGCCATCACCGGATTCGGTCCTGCAACCTGAGTCTGATCTTCCGATTGCCCTTCGAAAAGGTATACGTCAAACACGAAATCCTTCTCCACATTATATTGATTTATGTTATCATCGTCTTTCCCCTTTGCAGTATACTTGTTTGTCTTCTTTGTCTGCTGTTTCTATTCCTAAAACTCCAGGTGAAGCATTATCTCACCCTGAGTGGAGGCAAGCAATGATTGATGAAATGTGTGCTCTTCAAAGCAGTGGTACCTGGGAACTGGTTCCTCTACCCCATGGGAAATCTTTAGTAGGTTGTCGTTGGCTTTATACAGTGAAGGTTGGTCCAGATGGCAAGATTGATCGATTTAAAGCCCGCTTGGTAGCCAAAGGATACACTCAAATTTTTGGGTTGGATTATAGTGATACCTTCTCGCCTGTAGCCAAGATGACATCTGTTAGACTTCTTCTAGCCATTGCAGCCATTCGACATTGGTCTCTTCATCAACTTGACATCAAAAATGCATTCTTAACATGGTATCAAGAGCCTCATTTAAGATCCGGTGGGCCACCTTCTATGGTTTCCGCTATCGGGCCACCCACCATTTATTTCCACGCTTCAGTTGTCCAGTCCTGAGCGTGAGGGGGTGTGTTAAGAGTCCTACATCGGACAATATATGGCATGAACATGTGTTTATAAGTGGGAGCAATCCTCACTCTACCAACCGGTTTTGTAGGGTTGAGTTAGGCCCAACCACACTTCTTAACAATTATTATTATTATGATACTATATTGATCTATTTTATACGTAATAGTAATTATGAAATAAGTATACAAAAGGAAAAAACATAAAAACCGAAGATGCGGTAGTGAGATTAGGTTTCTGTCAAAACCCGATACAATCCATTTTCTGTGATTAAAAAAGGAAAAAACATTTGGGATCTTAGGTTTCATTGGATAAAAGAAAGTTGAGTTGTAACAGTGGTCGAGTCACCTTGCAGGCTGAAAATTACTGCAAGATAGCGGCTTAGTGGAGCTCTAACTTGAACTTGACAGATCGAATCAGGATGAGTGCGAAACAACAAGATGAAGAGTGGATGAGCACAGCAGTAGCAAGAAGCGTGTTCGATTTGATGCGAAAACTGCTTATTTGCTGACCTTTTAGAAAGTCGGTAACAAATCTAATATCTTAATTCCTGACCGTACCTCATTTAAGGCTTTAGTATAATTTAATCATGGACAATTAGTGTTACGATTGTGGATGACGGAAAGCCAAAGATACGCCATTTGAAGCCGCCGTAAAATGCTAGGGTCCCGCCATCCTTCACAAATCGTCAACGGTAGTTATCAAAAATACGTCATGACTGGTATGTGACAACATTGGTCAATCAAGTTAAGAAAGGCACGTGACTCTTTGATTGACCGAGTAAAATTGAGCGGCAGGTAGTTTAGAATATTATACGTGTTACTCTTTTAATTGTAGTTAAAAGTCAGGCTATGTGATAATTTTCCTGCCAGTTTATGTGATTGTGGTTTGATTCTGTTACTATAATTGCGTGGTGTTAATGTTTGAGCTATTTGAGATGTCTGTGTTAAAGCAAGTCCTTAAATGTCATTGAGTTAGGTATATATACTTCAAAACTAAATTTTGGGTTATCTTAGAATACGCCGATTCAATGGTTCACTGATCTGATTTTTTCGAAGTTTCCTTTATTTTGATTTGATGTATAATGTATATTCTATTAATGTATTTAAATATTAACAAGATGACACTTGACTGCATTTGTTTTTCCTTGCTAGCTCGATCGAGTACTACCATAACAAGCGTAAACTTGTAGAGATATAGCAGCATTAATTTTTTACTGACTCAGCAAAGATCCAAGTTGTGTATCAATTTTGTAGTGACTGCTAACTTGTTAAGAAAATGCTGACATTTTTGGAGCAGAAATACTTCGTGTAACAACAATCTTGGGGAATGCGTCATCAGTATTAGGTCAAAGTGGGCTTGAGCATGGTAGCCCCCTGGCTACTGGCGGAATGTTCTCCAAAGGAAGTGCTGATCCGAATGGATGGGTATCACGATTTCAATCAGAAGTACGGATACTAACCATTAACATAACTTCATTTCCGTCTAATTCTTTTATTTTAGAAATTATTCTGACATAATTATACATCTTATATGGCAACTCGTGAATTTATTCTAGTGGTTGTAGTTCTATATTTCTGTGACAGGTAATGCAAATGCTAAGTTTTTAGCTAAGTTTCCGAAACGGGTTGTTAACCATCTTACATAATGGTTTGAGATTGATCATCTGTAATATTTCAGATGTCAACCCATCATTCGCTGACATCCTGATCCTTTCATTGACATAGTTAGGAACATGTCTGTGCATTCTAGCTGTCATGTCATGGCTGTTGATAGTTATTCTTCACATTTGTTTATCTATAATTGCGTGTTTTTGACTTTTCGAAATTTTGAGCAGCCAGTGCAAACCTTTTTGGTGGCATCATATCTGTTTTTGTGATTGACATTAGAATGAAAACATGCAGATGCCGAGTCTGATACAGTCGTCACCGACACCAAATTGGCTGAGTCCACAAAGTAGCTCGTCTGGTCTTCTTGTTAAAAAGACAATCAGAGTGGATATACCCGTGGAGACATTTCCTAACGTATGGAGCATCGCATCTCTTTGATGAACACTATTTTATTTACAGAAGAATCTAATCGATATTTTTCAATTGCAGTTTAACTTTGTTGGTCGCCTCCTAGGACCGAGAGGAAACTCTCTGAAGCGTGTGGAAGCAAACACCGAGTGCCGTGTTTTGATCAGGGGCCGAGGTAGCATTAAAGATACAGCTAGGGTAAGAATATACGTATTTGTAGTAACGCTAACATGGTTATTTGTACCAAGATAAAATTATTTTAACGAAGTTGCGAAGATATTTTTATTGTGTTTCTCGTATAGCATTAAATTAATGTGTTCTCTCTATCATCTGGTAAATATTTGTACCAAGAATATAGTAAACTAATTTTGATAGTATTTATAGGAGGAGATGATGAGAGGTAAGCCTGGGTATGAGCATCTGAATGAACCTCTCCATATTCTAGTCGAGGCAGAATTACCGGCTGAAATAATAGATGCTCGCCTTATGCAGGCGCGTGAAATACTCGAAGATTTGCTTAGGCCTGTGGTAAGTTATTGTGAATTCAGTATGAGATTGGACAACTTGATTTGGAAACTGTATTACTTTGATCTAATTGTTTGAGTTATTGTCTTATCTTTCAGGAAGAATCCCATGATTTCTACAAAAAGCAGCAGCTTCGCGAACTTGCGATGATCAATGGCACTCTCCGCGAGGAGGATTCTCCGATGTCTGGTTCTGTTTCTCCCTTCAACAACAGCCTTGGCATGAAAAGGGCAAAGACCAGAGGGTAAATTCCCTTTAAAGGGTGAGTGAGAGGATTTTGGAGCTTGTGTTAATTTTCTACAACAGCATTTACCATTGTGAAAGGTGATGCCGTTATCAAATGCCCTAAAACTGCGTTCGGGGCACTGGCACCATAGGGTCAGTTTTATGTGCAGTGTGTTTACATTCAGGTCTAAAAATGGTAGCACATAGTACAGTATAATGGTCTGCTAGAGTTTGGTGAATTTGCTTTTTTTTTTGTTCGTTCGTTAGGCTGTTTGGTTTCATATTTATTAATTATGTTTATATTATTATTATCATTATTACTGTTATATATTTCACAGCTTGCGTCGACAGTTTTGATATGGTTTTGCAATATAATGCATGGTTTGTACCCTTTTGTATATACTCTATCTACTGCTTTGCATGTATGCGCGACATTTTGCATTGTCAAATTAGATCATAGATTTGTGATTTGATTTATTTATTTACGAAAAAATCAGCTTTTTATGCATTTCGCAGTATCTTGGAAGTAGATATATAGGGGGTATGACTGAGAATAGGCATTCAGAAACTTGATCAAAAACTGTTCAACCGATGGAACATGAATTCTTCCCTTGGTAGGGTAATAGCATGTTTGGATACACGTTCAACTTTTTCGCGCATTTCAAGGCTTCTGCGTTAACGTGAGAATTCACTGTGCTTTTGGCCATTCCAATGAGTAACCAAACATGCTATAAGACCCTTTAGGGATAGAATGGGTGCAGTGTGTTTAAGAAGCTCATGACCATGAAAAATATGAAGAGAATGTCAAAGATTGCATGAGGGGATTCGACTCGTTGGTGGCCTAGATTGAACCAATGTAAGAATGGCAACTTCTTTGGTATTTTCTTGGGGGTCTTTTTCCTAAGCTGTGTAGCAAAGCGCACTTTTATGACCTCGGTGAACTTTTGATGACAATCGAATCAGCCCGAGGGTTGGAAGAGGATCTGAAGTTGACACAAGATTGGGAGGTGTACTCAAAGGCAAGGTAATTCTTTTACTCTTATTGCCTCAAATTTTTGGTTTCCTTCCATTATAAGGCAAATGTCAAAGTTTGCAGTTCCTTCTATGAGCATGTTATATACGAATGTTTCGATGTAACATGATAGAAACTGGCACCAATTGGATATAATATAGATGAATAGCCACTATTTATTATAGATAATCTTTGGAGGAAAGTTCTCAAAGATGATTCATACAATTATAGACTTGAACAGAAAATAAATGGTCTGCAGGAAAATAGGCACAAACACGGTTTCACTTAGTTTTTGAGAGTTTGGTTCTCTTCCTTTCCAATAACACCACTCGAGCCTAAAATGGGTTGTTTGAACTTGAGTTTGGTTCTGGTACTTCCAAATGATAGTTTTGGAATGATTGAAAAGTATGATTTATTCTCGCATTGATCTCGTTTCAATACACCTGTTTGTTAGTAAGATTTCTTTCTCATCCACCATTTTGTGCTTAATCCACAAACTAGAATAATCTATTTATTGGCTAGAATTTCATTTCAGCTCTTCACATCCTTGAATCTAATTGGAAAATTTTCCCTCCAAGTAAAAGATGGTTCAGTATATTTAAAAAGGCTTGCATGTGATCCAAATTGTTCTGTATTCTTCTATGATTTTTGCTTGTTTGAGGCTTAGAAACACTTAAAAGGACTTTGAACCATTTTCTTCCATTGACTAGAGTTAGACCCAAAAGAATGATCTATAAGCCTAAATGGCTAAAGGACCAAGTATGGAATTTCTCCCTACGCAAACGAGTGATCCATAAGCCCAAATGGCCAATTGACCATGTATAAATTTCTCTTGGGAAATACTTATCCTACCCAAAAGAGTGATCCATAAGCCCAAATGACTAAAGGATCAAGTATAAATTTCTCTCGGGAAAACTTATTTCATCCAATTTGATGAGTCCCAAACTTTTGAAAATTCAAAAACGTCTATTGATGTTATGAGATGTATATTCGGATGTATCTAAAATCGCACCAGCCCTCGTAATTCAACCATACACCCTATTTTGTTAAATTAGTTCGTAATTCAACCATACACCCTATTTTGTTAAAATTTAGTTTGAAAATGCATATTTGTAAGGTGAATGATGCACCTTTGTAAACCCACGTGAATTCATTTTAAGTTATTATAGACATGTTTATTGCACATGACATGAAATACTTTTTTATTTTTTTTTTGAGACCAACTTATATTTTAGGTCATTTAAAGTCATTTTTTATCATACAATCATTTAAGAGTGTCACAAATTGATTCATATATTATATATCCATTAAAAAACTCGTACATTAATTAAATTAAATTCTAAATGTATTAATCATATATAATTTGTTTCAAAAATGCAAAATAATACACACAAACATAAACTATTAGGTATGTCTAATCCTTTAATTTCTCCTCCACCGTGTACTGGAAGACATTATGTGCCTTAACCATAATGTTTTCTACGAGGGTCAACTGGGAGACTACTTGTCTCAAAAAGTCCAATCTTTATGTATGATATTGTCATATCCATAATACGCGTGCGTGCACATACACACACACACACACACACACACACACACACACACACGAATGTCACGTTATGGGTGTGGTTATCACTAGCCTCCAATATCTCCTGATTAAATTACTTATGTGGTCTTTTAAGAAGGTATGGTGTCATGATAGGATTTGACAACCTATAAAACCATGTGATGTAATCGTTTGCATAAGCGCATTGTACAAGAGCTGACACCCTATGATATTCCTCTAGTACCACATGACTATCAAGATCCACAAGTATGGCATCAAGATCTCTGCGAAGAAAGGTAGGAGAAGTAGACTTTAAGGGACATCTCATAATAGCATGCAAATATCCAAATTGACACATCACTCGCCCAGGCAGATACATATATATCATACTTGATCCACAAGCGAGCCATCTGGAGTATAACAAAATGACATCCATCTGACACGTCTGGCGATGACTGACGTATGGACAAAAAGAAATGTCAGTTGCTACATGATATTTAAAATACACCGGGAAGGCTTGTTCGTCTGATTTTCTGTAAGTGGCGCAAGCACGTGGTCAATCCTTAGTGTAGCCAGACTCAAGTTGCCAGCCAGAAATGTGAGGAAAGTGAAAGATGATTCATCCTTGAAAATGGTTCAGATAAAATATTAGTAACAAGTGTAACAAAAGACTTAAGAAAATATTAGTAACAATAAATAACCCTAAGCATTATGCAACTTCCTGTCAATTGCTTTGTTTTCCAAAGACAACCTTCGTCCAGCTTCGGGTACAGGTAGATTAAACAGACAACCCTCGACTGTACTCGTGAATTGTCGTCAAGTCAATGAAATATTTAAGGTAGACTACATTTGGTGTCAGAGCACCTCTAGTGTAAGCTACCTCATTTGCGACATTAATTGGGTCAACTCCAAAATGGGGGACCATCATCTCGATGGCTTCGCCTCGACTGATCCTTCGGTGTACCAAAAATTTTCCCCTAATGACAAGAAGTAGGAGGCATGAGACGTCATCCAGAGTGATGATCATCTCGCTGAGAGGAAGGTGGAAAAATGACGTCTTTGAATGACATCTCTCTACAAATGCAACATTCGTGCCATAGTTTATGGTAGTGTACGCAACAACACATAAATTGACAAGTTAAGAGTAGCAGAGAACATTCTTGAACCAGTTATCTTTGGGTTGTTCTAGTTCCAAAATCTCCCTTTTGCGGTTTGCAATTTTAAACATGGACGCTCCTTTAAAAATAAATATATCACCACCACTCACGATTAAATTAAGATAAAATAAATGTATTACGAAAGTAAATAAATATATCTCCATAGAGATGAAGTAAGAAGTTGTCAAATAGGCCTCCTAGATAACTATCCACAGGGGCATCAACATCAGCAGCGTGTTCCTTTTGATTGGCTTCATAAGCTTCAAGGGCTTCCCATGAAGTAGATGTTTGAGTCACATGACTTCAAGAAGTAGAAGCAAATGGTTGTAAACTTCGACCTTTGTGAGCCATCAAATAAAGTAGCATCGACTTTTGGCCTCGCCCCTGACCCTCTCACATCGTACATACGTGTATTATGAAAAACCACTAAGAATGGGAAGAGCAATCCCCTTATTGACCGTGGTGGAATTATGAAAAAACGTAATTTTTTATTATTTTTCATTGTTTAGTTCTTTCTTTTTTTGTAAAATCTATTTTCTTTGGTGCCGGTAGAACCTATTGTCATTAGTGTTGTCATCTCATTCCTCGGTGCCTCTCAAACTCAACAGTTCCTCCCCAAAAGATTTTAATGAACTAATTCTCATCAACCACCACAACCTTGAAACAATAATGAAAACCAACAATAACAAAAAAATGGCCTTGCAACTTGGTTCGTTGGACAACAACTTTGACAAATGTATGAATGCCAAGTTTGCAACACTCACATCTTTACAATAATTTTATGTGATGTCCTCATTTTCATCTCAGAACTCGGTTTCTACAAGCATATCCTCCTCGCTTTTAATCCTTTTTTATCATGAAAAAGTTGTCAATAACACCTTTGTTTCCCTCTTACATATACATTAATCAACAAGGGGAAGTCAATCCAATATTACCCTAGCTACCCAACCTCTACCACACCTAACAATTGCATTGTGTTGGCAACTCAAGTTACACAACTCCACCATTTTCTAACCAACAATTTCCTCAACAAACCCACGTATATCTCTCTTTTCTACAAAATATTAACACCCCACAACTTTCACTTAGAACCCTCAAAGTTGAGTTAGACATTTTTTAAGGAATTAATCCCATAAGAAAATTGTTTATCCATGATTAATTTCTATATGAAGTGGTTGTATTAGGTTGGTATAAATGGATGTTTCAAAATTAACAATTAAATGATTGTAGTACCTTTTTAAGAATCTATAATTACAATTTGACCCCAGAACCTACGAGAATTACCAAGCTCAACTTGTAATTATAGTT